TACTATACTATCATCTGTTCATGGGTCTGAGAATAACACGTAAGTTGAAAAAGTTTACTTCATGACATTATTAAAAGGCATAATGATCTTATGACACTCCAAGAGATTTTATTGACGTACTTCTCATGCATTGCATTCATGTACCTTGACCCATGACCAGATGGCGTTATATACGCATATATATATATATATATATATATATATATATATATATATATAGGATATGGGAAATGGTTACGGCGTTATATATACACCACCACCTGATTAGCTGGTATACGTTGATGATGTTGCCCATAGTGGCCGAGATGATATGATGAGATGGCCTCAGAGGCCTGATGATCTTATGAAACATGTATTTATGCACGACATGACATTCATACGCATATGCATGACACTATAATTATTTCATGAATTAAAGAGTTATCCGGACTGACAAGTTGAGTCATTTATTCTATATCTCCTCCATGTCTGTTATGTACTTATTTATGTGCCTTACATACTCGGTACATTATTTGTACTGACGTCCCTTTTGCCTGGGGAGGCTGCGTTTCATGCCCGCAAGTCCCGATAAATAGGTCGATAGCCCTCCAAGTAGACTATCAGCTCAGCGAAAGATATTGGTGCGCTCCATTTGCTTCGGAGTTTCTTGTTTGGTTAGTATGATTTAGACGTGTATTTTTTGTATGGCGGGACTCTGTCCCGACCATTATGAAAATTATGTATTCTTAGAGTCTTGTAGACAGATCTCATATACGTAAAAGGTTATATGGCCTTGTCGACCTATGTTCAGTATACGAGTGGTTATTTTGGCCTTAGAGGCCCGTATGTCTTATGTATAAGCTGGTATCGCATTTTGTATTCTACTTATCTCACGGTAGCCTTCCAACTCGGTTATCTATAATAGTATGAAATGAAAGAATACGTTATATTGGTACTCGGTTGAGTAAGATACCGGGTGCCCGTCGCGGCCCATCGGTTCGGGTCGTGACATATTTCTTATGAATTAAACTATAGTTATGCCCAGTTCCTGTAGTCTGAATATGAATCCATCATGTTTAACCATTCAACTAATCTTGTTTGACTTATTTGAGTTTGTTAAGTGTGATGTCTCCCTTATACCTTACCCTCTAATGATATTGTAAATCTGATTCTTTAATATTTGGGATTCATTATGTCTTGTGAATTCGTAATCTTTGGTTCAAATCCCTGTGTGTGTGGGAGTATGGTATGACTTATATTCATCCTCCATGACTCCATATTTTTTAACATTGTTTTAAACATATGTTCACTCTTTGTCTTTTCCTTTGTTATCCTGCTTGAATCTGGTGTAAGGAAAACCTTCTACTATTATTTGGTTGAAATGCAATATCCTGTTTGTGTCATTGTCTAAATCTGTATTCTAGTAATGCCATTACCCTAAGTGCATGATCATTTGTGATCAGTGTTGAGGCATTATTCACTGTATCTTAAAGATGTTATAATTCCAAATTATGTGCCTCGTTTGTCTATGAGATGTATGATTTTTGTCTATTTAATTTTCAGCAATAGCGGCATAAATATTCTTGTTGCCTAGAAATCTGATCTTCAAAATATGTACATGTGTGCTTCATTTGCTTAATGCTGAAGTATAAGGAATGTTCTATGTGTCCATTTATGTGTTAGTTTGCTAAGGAAAGTAGGCTCATGTGGTAGGAGATATCATAGTGGTTGGTTTGCATTGAGAAGGCCTCATTTGCATTCAAAACTATATGGAAGAATTGGTTGTTAGTGGTTAAAGGTATCTGGGAGTAGAGTTTAACTTTAGTTTGTTTTGCCCTCCCCGGCACAAGCATTGCCCCGGGCCTTAAGACCCTTGGGAACTTTGAAGTGTTGGGGGATTCAAAAGGGGAGTCGACCTTGAGTAGAACTCTCTCCTTAGCCTTTAATTTATTGGCACTAATTACTCTATTTGGGTATGGTGTTTAATGGCAACGAAATATATTCAACGTGAATCACTCACTATACACAACCTCCACATTAGCATGATTCCCTTAGCATTTAGGTAGCGTTATAATTTCTTCTTTTAATTTTGCTTGTATAGTTTCCCTAAGCATTCGAAACTTTCGGTGACTGTTTTAATAATTGATTGAGAACTTTATATATGGATATGTATATAATAATGTTGGCTAATGACCTTCTCTTCTTTTTCTTGGACATGCACAAACGATTTGGGCTTGCTGAGTACTTTAAGAACTCAAGCCCAAGTCCAGCTCTATTGTGGTCTGTGCGTCTGGAGTAGCTCGTCATTTGATATTGTTGGACCTACCTTTTGAGGCCCAGAGTCACTCATTTTCCTTCATCTCCTTACTTTACTATTTCACAATTCTTTAGTCGCACTATGTCATTGCCCGTTATTATTTCCTGTTTGTTATCTCTCATTATGTATATGACAAATATATATATATATATATATATATATATATATATATATATATATATATTGGGTCAACTGTTTATCCTTATCTTTTAATTCATAGAATGACTTAGGCAAGCCTAAAGAACTTAGGATTAAAAAAAAAACCTTAGTTAGCAAGTAATTTCATATCCGCCAATCATAAGTTGTAATCAATTTGTCATGCTTTACTAACTCTTTTCTTACAGATTTTTGAAGTTCAAAGTCTTAACAAAGGCAGTCATCCTTCTTTTCAAAAAAATCAGAAGTGTCGCGGTTTAATCTTGCAAAAGGAATCAGCTATTTCAAAAAATACTAAGGTGTTCTGCACTAAAACAAAAGGTTTTTCAAACGGTTTTCTACTTCAAACCCAAGGTACATCTTAGAATCATTTGCATAAACTTTCACCACATTAGAATTCCATAAACCTCCATGATTTTGGGAATAAAGAACTTCCGTCTTTTACATTTTATACAAACATTTGCATCTTTCAAAATTTTCTTTTTAAGCCTATATATTAATACTAATTTACTAAAACCCTTTCTTTAAATCCATCCCCTTTAAACCATACTTCCTTTTTAGAAGCCATGTCCTAATATATGGTAAGCTCTACCCTTAGAACACTCGTTAAGGCATAACACAAATAATTAATTCTGAATCTAGTCTAAGTTATGGAGATACCTCAGGTAGATTTTAAGGGTTGCCTAAGACCTTCCCCTTAGAAGAACAAGAACCCTTACTCATAATCTCACCGGTTTGTAAGCTAATAAATAATATGACTTTAGTAATTAAATAGGTACCCTAGTATACCTTTAAATATTATGTGGTGACTCTCTTTCTTCAATAATAGAGAAACCAAAAGTTGAATCTTGTTTTGACTAGTGCAAAATAGGGTGCACTAGGGGCTTGTACACAACATTCTTCCTTTATTAGGACCACCCCTTGTAGCTATGAAGCTTATCACAACTTGGTTATCAAAATCATCTTCACTACTCTTATGAGAATGAGTGGCAAAAATAGATTTCATCTCAGGATACACAATTTCTAAAGGAACAGTAATGGGAGAATTAAATAGGGGTGTGTCAGTACTATCTAGGTTAGGTCTTGTGGAACCTGGTGTCTCATCCCAAGTAGGAGTAGTAGCTCCCCTTGGGTAGAGAAGAGGTTCCTCAGCAGGTTCCCCTGTAGTACACACAGACACATGTTTCACTTTACTAACCAGTTCTCCTTCACTTTGTAATTTCTCCTGAGTCCTTTCACCACTACCGCTAGCCTTTGAGCCCTCAACCAAACCTTCCACCATAACAGATTCCCTTTCAAGAGTAGTAGATCCCTCATTGTCTTTTCACTTAGATTTCCTTCAACTTCTTTACACACTACTCTTATTAGTAGAGAGAGATAGAGGGTAACCTGATACAGTAGAAGTATTCAGAAATTTTTCCTCAACCTTCTGCACTTTATTTATCTCGGATGCTTGTGGTTCCACAGCAATACCAGAACCCGTCTATTCCTTAACCTTACTTCCTCTTTCATAGCATTCTAATTGGTCACTTCAACACCATCATCGGCTTCTATAATTTCTTCTATGGTTTGAAGAAATTGAGAAGTTGACATTGCATCTTCTGAGTCGGCCTTTTCAGTAGGAGAAGGACATGAGACAAACTTTTTAGGAGTTTGACTTTTTCTACTTTGTTGGGGACCAGGACCAGAAGTTTTGAGAGGAGTGACTGTGGGATTGGCTTCGGTGGAAATTGGGTCTTTTGGGGGTGAAACATTTGGCCTAGATCTAGATGGGGATATTGTTTTAGAAGGATACAAGATTGTATTTTTTTCAGGCATTTTTGGAGATTGAGAATCTTGTTGAGACATTGTTGGATTTTCATAGCAAGAGACAAGAGAAGAGGGTTCGAGGACAAAGAGAAAGGATGTTCTGAGGGTGAAGTGAGGAGAGAGACAAAAGTTAGCAGTTTAAAATGCATATAAGTGTTAAGAGGAACTACGGACCTAGATCATAGGAACCAGGTTACTTGACAATTTTTTAAAATATTAGCAAAAACTTCTAGATATGCAATACCATTTGTCGCTTGTTTTGTCCTAAGACTGCCATACATGTCTACTTGTAATAGTATAGATTTTATTTAGATGTTGACAGAAAATACTTTTAGCATTGTACCTTTCCTTCTTAACGTAGCCAATCATCGGGGGACCAGGTCCTTAGTTGAGCTTGATCAACCTAACTCCAGATGATTTTTCTCAAAGTGTTCTCTGCTTGGTGACTCAAGAAGTGAAGATATCTGCTACCTGGTGCTTCGTCTTACAGAACTTCATACAAATAAGACCATTCAACATTGTCCCTCAAGAAGTGATCTCTCACATCAATGTGATTTGTCCTCTTGTGCTGCATCGGGTTCTTTTCCATGTTGAGAGCACTTTTATTATCACATAATAAGGGCACACAATCTGTAAACATACCAAATTCTTCTAGTTGTTGCTTGATCTAAAGCAGCTATGCGTAACAAGAGGCAACGGCTACATACTTAGCTTCAGCAGTAGAAAGAGCCACAGAGTTCTATGTACCCCATGAGATCAAGCATGAACCCAAAAAATGTGTTATTCCAGATGTACTCTTCCTATCCATCAAATATCCAGCATAATCAACATTAGCATATCCAATCAAGTCAAAATTATCTCTTGAGGGATAGAATAGGACTAGGTCCTGCATTCCCTTGAGATACCTCAAAATTCTTTTTGCAACCTTCAAGTGAGATTCTTTTGGGCTTGATTGGAACTTAGCACACAACCAAACACTAAAGAAAATATCAAGTGTGCTAGCAGTCAAGTACTGGAGATCCAATGATACCCCTATACATAGTTTCATTGACAGGAGAATCAAGTTTATCCATGTCCAACCAAGTAGCAATGGCAATGGAGTATCAATGGTCTTATAATTTTCCATCTCAAATCTTTTCAGCAGCTCCTTGATGTACTTATATTGACTAACCATGAACCCTTTTGAGTTTTGCTTCACTTGCAACCCAAGGAAGAAATTTAGCTCACCCATCATGCTCATCTCGAATTCACTACCCATGAGATTTGCGAACTCCTCACAAAGGGAATCATTTGTTGCACCGGAAATGATATCGTCAACATATACTTGCACAATCGACAAATTTCTCCCTCTTTGTTTAGAAAAAGAGTATTGTCAATTTTCTCTGTAGTGAAGCCAATCTCAAGAAAGAATTTGGACAATCTTTCATACCATGATCAAGGGGCCTGCTTCAAATCATATAGAGCCTTTTCAAGCTTGAAGACATGTTCAAGATGCTCATGACATTCAAAGCCATGTGGTTTCTTGACAAATACTTCCTCCATCAAATATCCATTCAAAAAGGCACTTTTAATATCTATTTGGAACAATTGAATTCCATATGAGATGCAAAAGCTATGAGAATTCCGATGGCTTCTGTCCAAGCAACATGAACAAATGTCTCATCATGGTCAGTCCCTTCTTCTTGATTATATCCCTGAACCACTAGCCTTTCTTTGTTTCGTATAGTATTTTCAAACTCATCAAGCTTGTCCCTGAACACCCACCTGGTTTTAATCATTGTTCTGTCTGAAGGTCGAGGAACCAGGTTACACACCTTATTTCTCTTGAACTGGTGGAGCTCTTCTTGCATAGCATTTATCCAGTCAGCATCTTTTAATGCTTCTTTGATGTTCTTAGGTTCGATTTGTGATAAGAAGGCTGAAAAGGTAAACATTTTTCTTGACTTAGATCTAATTTGAATACCAGAATCTAAAGGTGTGATCACACTTTGAAGCGGATGAGAGCTTGTTGTGACTACAGTTGGATACTTAAACTTCAGAATTTGAAGGACCAGGTTCCTCCATATTTGAACCATCATTAACATCAACAGAATTATGACTTTCACTCCTTCGTCCTGCATAAGGAGTACTTGATATAGCATCAGCAACCCTTTGTTCAGCTTCAATCGGGTTGATAGAGGGACCAGGTTCCTCTGTCTCTGCTATAGGTTCTGCTGTATCTTCTTCATTACTTTGCTTGACTTGACTCATCAAATAAGTATTTCCATTGGAAATATCTATGGCTTCTCCAGGAACCTTTGAGAAATCTACATCTTAATCTTCCTTATCATGTTATCCTTTCCCACTAGATTCGTGGGATTTATCAAAGATCACATGCACAGTTTCTTCTACACATTGAGTCTTTTTGTTGTAGACTTTGTATGTCTTGCTTTGAGAGGAGTTACCAAATTCCCTCATCACTTTTTGCATCAGATTTTCCCAAAGCTTACTTACCATTGTTGAGAACAAAGCATTTGCATCCAAAAGCTCTTAGGTAAGTTAGCTTGGGTTTTCTCCTATTGAGCAGTTCACATGGAGTCTTCTCGAGCAGGGACCAGATCATGCACTTGTTAATCAAGTAACAGACAGTGTCGACTGGTTTAGCCCAAAAACTCTTAGGCACGCCACTTTCGATCAACATTGTTCTAGCCATATTCTCAAGAGTCCTGTTTTCCCTCTCCACAACACCATTTTTATGAGATGTTCTAAGGGCAGAAAAATTATGACTTATACCATTTTGAGCACAAAATTCATCAAACTTGGCATTGTCAAATTTAGTGCCATGATTAGATCTGATACCCACGACATGATATTGTCATGCCCCAACCTCGGGAGGAGCGACCGGCGCTCAATCGAGTGACCCCAACTGAGCAAACCTTACCAAACACTATCTACCCAACTCAATACGAATAAGGGGACCATGCTTTCATTTATTCAACAAAGGGAGATAGTATATTCAACATTTTTAGTTCATTTTAGATCACCACATTAACTGTAGATAAGTTAGTTTCCAAGGTTCCCGTAAAGTTACAATTCATAGGCAACATAAGATTAGAATTACAACGTGGATAGCACACCCATTCAACACCCGCACATGACCCACATATATGTCTACGGAGCCTCTAAGGATACAAAAGACAAATGTGACAACGCCGGCAACAAGGCCCCGGCTATACCTCAAAAGTGAAAGTCCAAAATAAGAAGATGTGCAATATAGCCCCTTGAAGGAGAAAGGGGCTCACCAAGATCTTTGGGAAGGAGAATGCTCCGCTACACACGATCGACACTATCTGCTATGGAGCCACCTACATTCATTTAAGAAAATGTAGCGCCCTCGGCAAAAGGGACGTTAGTACCATGGAATAGTACTAGTATGTATAACTAAACGCCATTTTACTAGAAAGAACTACCAAGCAATGACAAGTAAATCACATAGGTGAATCAAATATGAAAATAATAAAATCATTCACATAATTCCCCTAACTTAGTTTGGGGCATTCCTTTCCTACGTTCATCACCGTTCTCAATACCACCGCTATCTTGAGCGGAGTCCGATCAAGACCCGACCGGCTAGGTTGCCTCATTTGAGGCATGTATCTCAATCACTATTTCATTTCCTCTATCCAGAGCTCAATATCAGCACATTACCACCATGTGTGCGGCATGGTGTCCGATCACGACCCGATCGGCTAGGTCGCCTTATCTAGGCATTGTTCCTTTCTCATTAGTCATCACATACGATTCTTTATTTCACATATATCATATCAATTCCTTGGCACTTAGGGCCACCATTATCACATCGCTTCCCGTTTTCAATATTCATCTTGCAAGTTATGTTCATAGACATATACAAGAGTAGTTTAAGTTGCAAGCACAGGTAAGTGAGCACATAGCTAGCATGAATAATTCTCAGTTTCAATCTCGACCTATTAGCCTAAGCATTTCGACACATAATTGTATTCTTCATACTTCTCAAAATTTTCAAGAATGGTACATTACATCACATTGAGGCACATCCTTCACGTATATGTGTAGATAATTGCAAATTAATTAATGTGCAATAACAATCAATACATTAACCAATTCAAATCTTACCACACTTTCGTAAACGCCCACGGAGCTCAATTTCTAATAAAAAAGGGGTTTTAGCTATACATACCTCAATATAGCTTTCCTTACTCCTTACAAATTTCTGGAACTCTTATCACTTCGATCTATTATGTAAGAATTACAATGTAAACCGAGAATTAGAGACGAAGTTGAGATTCTAGCTTGGTTCGTGCATAATATCAAACACCAAAGGTACATTATGATCTTAGGTCCTTCTTGCTAGAAATTTCTATCATTTTATACCCCAATTGCTTTCTTTTTAGTTTACTATCTTCCAATACCCTAAGTTTAGATGTGCATGCAAGGAATCAATTCTTATACCCATGAATTACCTCACTAATGACCCCCTTATAGCTGAATGTGGAAATAAGAACTGAGGTGAAGAAGTCTTACCTCTTGGGATGAAGGTTTAGAAGCCCTCACTTGATTATCTTCAAGGATTTAGCAAGATTCTATGGTGTAATTTGATGGGGAGAACTTTCCATCTCTAAGACCCCTCTCTCTCACTCTAGAAATGCTCAGAAAAATGCTCAAAATGAGCTATAATATCGAATATAACGATTAGGGGGTCGGGTTAAAAATTAGAAAATTAGAGCCCCGAGTCGGGTCTGCGATCGCATTTGCGATCGCAATGTGGAAATGCGGGCCGCAGATTGGACAGCAAAAAGGCTCCCAAAATCTGAACACTCTGTTTGGGTATGACGAAAATGCGGTCCCCATACCCGTTCTGCGGTCGCATAATGCAACGCAGAACTGACCTTCACAAAATCCCAAGGAAATTATGCGACGACTATGCGGTTCGCATATTGGTTATGCGATCGCATAATGGACCGCATCTTTAACCTCAAATTAGCTAACACACTGACTCATTCTACGGCAAAATGCGGTCCGCATACCTGGTATGCGACCGTATTCTAAACCGTACATTTGCACTTTTCTGGAAAACTTTGATTCTTGATTTTTAAATGCATAGATCAGCTCAAAGGGTCTGAGCCGCGGCGAGCTTGCGAGGAATGTTTATGAGTTTCTAACACCTGGCCCTAGCTTGGCACTACGAGGTTCGGGTTTTGAGTGAAAATTTTTACGGGGCCTCACAGATATCCCATCTTCACTTGATCTGCTTCACAAATACAATAAATACTGGAAAGGTTTCATCTTTAGTCCTCAGAAACAATGTTCATGTGAATCTAGAATAATCATCCAATATCACAAAAATGTACTTCTTTTCTCCTCTGCTAGGTATCCTTATAGGTCTACGGAGATCCATATGTAGAAGATCAAGTGGACTAAAGGTGGTCACTTCTTTCTTTTGCTTAAACGAGGACCTGACCTGCTTCTCTTTTGCACAGGCATCACACACCTTGTGATCCTTGAACTTTGACTTGCGCAGCCCACGAACCAGGTTAATCTTGATCAACTTGTTCAGCAAGGTAAAGCTTGCATGTCCCAGTTGTCTTTGCCATAATTCATCATCATCATCAATGGCACTTAGGCATGTTAAATCACCACCACTCAGTGATCCAAAGTCTGTAACATATATGTTCTTGAACCTTTTGGCTATCAATACCACTTCAGTTGTGTTGGGATTGGTGACAGCGCAAAATTTCGACAAGAACATCAATGCATTTCCTTTGTCAAAGATTTGGAGCACACTCAACAAACTATATTTCAAGCCATTCATATAGTACATATTTTCAATTGCATGGGAGAGTGTTTTGCCAATTTTCCCAACACCAAGAATATAACCCTTCTTGCCGTTTTCAATGGACACACTCCTTCCTTGTAAGGCCTTGAGAAAGAGGAAATCATCCATTCTTCTAGTCATATGCTTCGAGCAACCACTATCCATGTATTATTTTTGACTGCTTCCTCTCGCTCCAGCATGCATAGAAAATCACTTATTAGACATAGGAACCTAAGCCAGCTTAGGTCCCTTATAATGATAGAACGGATGAATCAAACTTCTTTTTGCGCATGCAGACAACACATATTTTCTTCTCAGAGAGTCAAGTTCCTCAACAGTAGGCTTCTTTTCAACAAAACTTTTGTTTTTCTGTAGAGACTGAATTTTAGCTTTACAAGAGTCCTTATAATGACCAGTTTGACCACAGTGAGTACACAACCAATTATCAGCTATAGTTACATACTTGCTATGGGGATTATAGGGGGTTTTAGACTTTTGGAACCCGATGCCATGCCTGTTTCAACCATTACTCTTGTGCATAGACGTTATTATTTCAGAGGACCATGTCCTTTTATGTGACTTATCAAGATCATTTTTAACCCAGATCCTCCTAAAGTTTTCTATTCTTTTAAAGCTCAGTAACAAGGCTTGTTTTAATTTTCTTGAGCTAGCTTTCAAGCTCAAGTTGAGCCTCACTAGCCACTTCTTTTCCTTTAGGGTTTTAATCCATTTTTCCATTTGATTTTTCAACAAGGTATTTTCTATAGTTACTTCTTCCACTTGTTCCTTCAGATCTACAACTGTGACTACCATATCATCCCTCTCTTGTTACATCACCAATTTCTTCAGTAAAGGCATTCTTGTCACTAATAAGGCTATGATAGGCATAAATCAACACATTTGCTAATGACATCAATTTCTTTTGAGAGTAAGTTTTCGCGTTTCTTTGAACATCAAAAAATTACCTCATCATCGTCAGATTTCTCCATGAGTGCAAAGATAGAATCATATTCTGAGGATTCATTTTCAACATCCATAATGGATGTATCTCCTTGGTCATCTTCACCTTTAGATTCACTGGAGGAATCTCCTTAACCACCT